CGCATTTTTGGCTGAGACGCCCATGTGAAAACAGTTTCAGGCATCTGATCCCAGTTTGGGAGGCTCAGCTGGCCAAGTGGGCATCTGATATCTGAATCTTTAGAAGAGAAAAAGCCAGGACACTCCAGGCTGGGATGCTCAAAACAGGCTTTCTGGAAAGCGCTGCCAGGGCTCTGACACGCGGGAGCTTAGTTGCTGTGTGAGTGAACACGAGGCAATGGCGGCCTTCTGAAAATTCCCCGTCTGGTGGGGGCCCTGGCAACACACCCACACAGGCTCAGCGAGCAGAGGCCGCAGACTGAGCGGAGCGGAGGACAACGCGAGCCAAACACTCGATGCCCAACAAACAGAACAAAGGGACCGTCGCAGTGAGGAGACGACGTCAGCCACCACGGATTTGTCGGGCGCCTGTGTGCCAGGCAGGGGTCCAGGCTCGGGGGGCACAGCAACGGTCCAAGCCGGGCAGCCTGGGACACGGGACAAGCCTGTGTGAGGGCACTCCTCGCGCGCCTCTCAGCAGCCGGCAAGGCACCTTCTGTCACAGGAGCCTCAGTTCCCCGAATCAGAAGGCGAAGGAAACAGCTAGCCCATGGTATGAAATGAGGTGACACTTGTAAAGCACGTGGCACATAGTGGGAGGCCCACCGATGATACGGGTTGCGGGGGGGACTCCCCTCCACCGCGCTCCAGGCACGGTGCTCGTCCCCTCACTGCCTTAGCGGCCCCCCAACTCATAATTTGGTAGCACCCCACTACTTGATGAAGGACAACGCAGAGGCACGAGCCATTAGGAAAGGAAAGGCAGTTTGTCCCCAGAGCTGGTGCCCAGAAGGACACTGGACCATCCCCCCCTCTCCCGCCATCTCCCGCCGGTTCCTGTCCGGGTCCTGAGGGAGGGGAGGACAGAGGGGTCCGGGCGCCCTAGCCGGCCGGGCGCCCTAGCCGGCCGTCCCCCCTCAGGACCCCCGCATATCCTTGCTGTCACTTGCCTTCCCTCTTGTCCCCCCTTCCGCCTCGTCTGCGGCTTCAAACTCCCTCTCACTTGAATCGCTCGCCTCCTGGCAGAGCTGGAGCCCTGGTCCCGGCAGCGCCTTCGTCAGTGGCCGAGTGCCCCCTGCACGTGCTCGGGGTGGGACAGGCGGCACCGCGCCCGGGGCCCTTTCATTCCGCCGGAACCCCTGCTTGTCCTGCGCGTGGGGTCTCGAGAGGTCACAGAGCCACCCCCGAGCTCCCGGTTCAGGGGACAGGGGGTGGCAGCCTGGCTCCTGGGCAGAGCGGTGTCCGGCCCCGGGCTACAGTGTGGCCGGAGGAGGAACGGCACCGACCGGCTTCACGAGGTCAGAGCCTGGAGGCCACGTCCCCCGGGACCGGCAGGAGACGCGGGCCCTCGGCCGTGGCCACGGGCTGGGAAGGGGGCGCCGCGGACCCCTGCTGCTGTCGCACCCCGAGACCGGCCAGCAGGCCGCGGCCAAGGTGACCCCGTCTGTGGGGGCTGACGGGCGTGTCGCACCGGGCTGGCCGCGGCCAGCTGCCCTGGACGGCCGGATGAAGCGGCGGCCACGCCGGGGGACCCGGGATTCCGGCCCCAACACCGTGTGGGGCTCCCCAGCCCCCGCCAGCGAGGCCCCCACTCCCGCCGGCGGCCCACCGTCCCGCGCAGCTCGGTCACGGTCTGCCTGGAGGTGCCTCAGGCCCCACGGGTTAGGGCTCCGCCCGCGAGACCGTCCCCCACCCCCACCCCCACCCCGCGCGCCCCAGACGCCAATGACAAGCCCAGGTTGTCACCTGCGCTTCCGACGGACCAGCCGAGGACGGGCTGGCGTTTCCGACGGCCCCTCCTCAGGTTCATGAATTTGCTGGAACGGCCGACAGGACCCCGAGAAACGTGTTACTTACCGGGGGACCCTGAACAGCGTGGGGGGTGAGGGGCCGACCTCGCCGCAGCGGTCGAAAGTCCGGCGTCTAACTCTCAACTTCCGGAAAACTTCGCTACCGCGGGCGCTTCACATCCGGGGATTCAGCCAACCGCGGGTCGCGAACAGCGACAGCAATCCGCAGTTGGGAATCTGCGGCTGGGAATGAGAAAATAGTTCTGGGCCGCAGGCTGGGAATGTGAAAATACTGCTTGTGGTAGTCTTTTTATGCAGCAAGAGACAGTAATGCGTCCACCAAAGCCAACACGGCGCTGTGGGTCACACAAACGGGCAAGAGATGCTGTCCCACAATTACAGAGTGCGCGCCGATTGGGTGTTTCCAGTTCAGTTGCCGCCCTCCACAGAGGTTCAATAGCAAAGGATCTGTGTTGTAGGTTATTAGAAAATAAATGCGCTTAACCACTACATGTCACCACCCTTCACATAAAAACGCATGTTAAGGGCCGGCTAAGTGGCGTGGTGGTTATGAGCTGGCTTGGGACACCAGCTCTGAGCAGCAGGGCCCTGGTTCGGATCCCACATGAGGGCCAGTGACACTGCGCCCTCTACAGCTAAGATGCTGAACAACAGCTCGACCTGGAGCTGGGCTGTCGGGAGCCACCGTGAGCAGTCGTCCATGGCTGGCAAGCAACTGCCTCGCCCGGGAAGAGCGCAATGATAATATCAACTTGGGCCAGTGAAGCGACGTCCTCCACAACTAGACTGAAGACCAAAACGACAGCAACTTGTCTGTTCCCCTTCCCCGATCCCCCAATAAAATCTAAAAAAACAACAAAAAAAAAACGCATGTGAAGGGGAAAAGAAGCACCTTAACTATATACAATTTTCAGTTGTCACTGTACCTCAGTAAATCAGGGGGCAAATGTAATCTTTGATTCTGAACCATTCACACCAGCAGAATTCTTACTGCCATCGAGCAATTGTATTTAAAACAGCTGTCGGCATTTCATGTTCTGGTAGGATCAATCAAAACTAAGGAAAATGGAAAAGGAAATAAGTGTAATAAACTTAAAATGAATAACAGTATTCATAACATTTAACAGCAGTCTGTATTAGCAGAGTGCACACTGACTTGTTCAAGTAAATCACACTCTTTCAAGGAATAATACTTTCCATTTTTCCATATAGAGAAGTCACCAATCATATACTTGATGAATTGTTAAGTGTGATGAACTTTTAGAAGTGAAAATACTCATATAACCACTACCTTGCCCAATCGAATGTGATCTCCATAAATACCTCGAAGTAACCAAAGCCTATTGGTGTAGAGGTTTGAGGCATTCAGCCCCCTTCCTCTCTGGCCACTCTGGATATGACCTAGATGTGAATTATTACATATGTCAGCCCAGAAGTAATTTCTCAAGGATGAGAAGATGAGGATTAGAAAAGGAAGGGAAACACATATATATATATATATATATATATGATCTTCTCCCAGTTGGGGCAGCTCTCTGTGTACATAAATGCAAACCCATAGGTACACACACATACACATACACACACACACACACACACACACACACACACACATCAAGAAGAAAATATACCAAACTTGTAACAGTGATTATCTCTCTGGGTAGCAGAGTGGTCTGTTTTTAAGATTTTCCTCCTTATACATGTCTGTATTTTCCAATTATTCCATAACGAACAGTTATTTCTCTTTAAAAGCAGGACAAAGGTGCATCGTTTAAAGGAGGGGATTAAACTGAGTTAGTTCAAAACAAAACACTGTGCTTCCAGGTTAAGCTCCTGGGTTGTGATGGACCCAGAGGTCCTGGCAAGGGTCAGAGGGGACAGCCTGTCACATTCTGCGGGGCACCAAGGAGGGAGTCGGACAAGCTATGAGAGTCAACAGGGAAGGATGGGATCCCAGGGACAGGAAGCGCCCTCAGGAGGTTTCAGTGGCACCTGACCCTGAGTCAGAGGGAGGGACGGGTTTCCCAGCCTAGTCTGGGTCCTACGATCCGATCCACCGGGAGACAGGGAAGCATACAGACCCCGGGGGGCCCCTAAGCCCAAGCTACACTTTCAGGACCATGCTGTCCCCAGGGGAGGGGACAAGCTGGGGCCAAGCAGAGAAGAGAGTATCATTAAAGACATTATTATACAGCCATAAAAATATTCACAATTTAATGTTAAGGAGAAAGTTCCTCGTACAATGTGATGTCTGGGTCCCACACTGCTGTTTGGTAAATTTAAAAGCAGCTAAGCGGGTAAACCCTGAAAGTTCTCATCACAAGGAAAAATCAAGTTTTTTATCTGTACGAGATGATGGTTGTTAACTAAGCTTACTGTGGTGATCATTTCACAACATACGGAGGTCAAGTCAATACGCTGAGCACTTGAAACTCATACAGGGTGTATGTCAGTTACATCTCGATAGAACTGAAAGAAAACAATGTTAAAAAGACAAAGCTGCATAAAGAATATTATCCCATTTTATTACAAGAAATACACACACTGGGAAAATTCTCTCTGTTAACAGTGGTGATCACTGGGAGGTAGGCTGCTGGCTGATTTTTTAGCTTCTTTTGTATTTTCCAAGTTTTCTGCAATGAGCATATATTACCTTTATCCTCTAGAAGACAAGAGAAACGATTAATGCTGCCAACACACACAGACATAACAGGTGGGCCCCCAGATTTCAGCCAGGCTGAGGTTCATGGAGCAAAGCAGGGTGAAGCCCAATCTGCATGATCGCAGGGGCTCAGGACCCCTGGGCAAGGCCTGGGCACAGTGGGCATGAGGTGGCACTGGGCAGCCCAGAAGCCCGGAAGTTCAGAGCCCTGTGGTCAGGAACTTGAGCCCAGAGGCTTGTTTAGGGGCCGGCCAGGTAGCACAGAGCCGCTAACCTCAGACGCAAAGCCACGGGTAAGAGTCCAGCCCTCTGCACCTGTGTCTGAGGACAGGACAGGGGCTGACACAGAAATGGGGAGTCAATGCTGGGAAACTAGGGGGAGCCCCACACCCTCTTACCCCCCGGTAGCTTACCCCATGGCTGCTGGAGAAGACCCTCTTTCCCCATTCCACGGATTTGGCTTCTAACGTCATTTCTAGGCACTGAAAAAACGTCAGCGGTTATTAACCAGGACGGAGACCAAGCGCAACTGGGAGTTTAGAAGAAAACTCTGTGGCCAAGAAAAGCAGAGCAGGGGGTTCCAGGTCACTCAGGAGTCACTAGGCATGGTGGGACCTTCCAAGCTGACACAGGAGAATGGTCAGAACCCTGCCTCCCCTCCTGGGGAAAGCTGTAACTACTTCCTGTAGGAAGACAGGAAGAGAAGACGGCAGGATCGGAGCCCGAAGGTTTCTGGTGAAGGATGGTGGGGAGGAGGAACGTCACCATAGCTCCTGGTAACACAAGCCCTCGCACAGCAGTAGTCACCCTGGCTGTGGAAATACTAAAGTACTTGTGTATCAGTGGGTAAATAGTTGCTACTCTAACACCCCCACCCAGGGCCACTGCCTCTTAACCGCACCCCAGACCCTGAGGCCATCCCATGTTCCAGCAACTACAGCACTGAGCCAGACCCAGGGGAGGAGGAGATTGGGGGTGCTTCCAGAACCTTCTACAGCACCCTGTGGTCCATGACCTCTGTGCAGTCTGACCTGCCCCATATTGATGGTTAAATATTTGGGATCTTAGTCCTGGGTGAGAGCAGGCCTCTCGTGAAAAAGAGCCCCTGAAATCCTGGGAGCACAGAGGATGCTGGGCCATCAGAGAGGTGTTGAGAGCTGGGAGCTGCCTACGTAGCAATCGGCAGGTCCGCGGCAGAGCTCATCATGTCTGGGTCATTCTTCATCATGGCCGCTTTAAGCTGGGACCAGCGTCTCCAGCCAATTTGATGTTGGGAAATTACCAGCATTATCTGTAATATCATCCGTAATCATTTTAGTTCTCTCTTACCCTGCCCTGGGCAACCATGAAATTGAAGCAAAAGTCAACATAAAAAAGATGAGTAACTAACTCGGATTTGCCTTGGATTAATCGGCATTTAACCAAATCACCAAAGAGATTAGAGAGCTTGCATTTGACCCAGAAAAAGTATAAAACCAAAGTAGATAGTGACCGTATAATCTATTTATAACCATCCTCCTAAGAGGTGCTGAATTTTGTAAAAGGTGAAGGTTTTAGGAAGGAGCCAACTACAGAGGAGGCAAATAAATAAGGTAAGTGCCTTGCGCTTCCTCGCTGATTCGGCAGTGTCCTGAATGAATTTTGGCCTCAGAGACACCTCTTAAGGTTTTTAATATGCAGCCTAGAAATGTAACCATTTTTTTTAACCATCCCGTACTTGATTTTAGAATATCAATATTGTGGTGATTTGGGGGCAAGCACTCAGAAAGCAAGAGAAAAAGTGTAGCAGTTTCTCACTAAGCGAAACATAGAATTACCACCTGACCCAGCAGTTCCACTCGGAGGCACAAACCCCAGATAACGGGAAGCAGGTGTTCAGTTAGTAACTTGCACACGACTGTTTGCAGCACATTCTCCACAACAGCCAGAGGTGGAAACACCCCAAATGTCCCCCGATGGATGCGTGGGTAAATGAAGCGTGGCCCATCCACGCAATGGAACACCACGCAGCCATGAAGAGTGAGGCAGGGACACGTCACAGCGGGGAGGGACCCTGACGGCGCTCTGCCGAGGGGAAGAAGCCAACACAAAGGCAACGGCTCCACCTGGATGAAAGGTCCAGAACAGGCAAAGCCAGCGACAGCAAGCAGGGGCTGCAGGAAGGGCAGGGTGGGGGCGCCGCCGCGTCGTGCGCTCGGGGCTTCCTCTCGGGGTGATGGACAGCCTGGAACTGGGTAACGGCACAGCTGTACACAGTGTAACTGTACTCCCTGCCTCAGAGCTCTGCATGGGAAAGTGGTTACATTCAAGAATTTTGCCATATGCGCTATACCAAATTAAAAGAAAAAACAAAGGTAAAAGAAGGCTAGAGCGGGTTGTGGGATCCTGAGAACCTGGTCCCGTGCCCACAGCTCTCGGAAGCCTCCTGTGGCTCCTCTCCCACAGACAGCGTCTCCTCTTCCCTGGCAGGTGGTGTCTCAATAACTCTCAGATTAGGTGTTGCCTCTTCAATATCTAACTTCCTTAATCACACAGAAAAGACTTTTGCAGAGTATTTGTTTTCCTGACCCTTTATGTAAAGGAACTAAGGACAAACTACATGTTACTTATAAAAGTACCGTAAGTCATTGGTCGATCTATCCAGAAACTTTTAGCTCGGTTCTTAAGGGCAGGCTTGTAAGGAGGTACAAGTCAAAGACGCTTCAGGTGAAAAAAAGTTTGTTAGCTACAAAGTCTAACTGTAGGCCGGCTGGGGTGACCAGCTCAGGACAGGGCACTGTGGACGTGCCTGAGGAAGGACGCATTTCTGGACATGGGACCGTCACCAAAATCAACAGCTTATCTGCTTTTAATGTCAGGTGGCCTTCACGTGTGCATGGGGTGAATGAATGAATTCACATCATTATGCACTGCCCCGGATAGAGACAGCTCACTGCTAGTCTGTGGAAAATTCACCAAAAAAAAAAAGAAAGAAAAAGAAAAAAACGTACAATGTTAGATTTCCTATAGATTCCTGAGTAAAAAACAACATCAGAGACTGCTATTTTAAAACCAAATGAGAGAATTTTTTATGACAGGAAACTATCCTAAATGGCACCTTGTTTCCTGAAAACGACAAGCAAACCCCTCAGATGCCACGTTGGCTTTAGAGGCACCCGGGAGCCCCTGCTCCCACATCCTGCTCATGTGAACGGGCCTGCACGTGTCATCTGAAACAAAGCACGCCTGACATTCGGAGATCTGACTCAGTGTTTGAGCAACAGACAAAGGTTGGGATGAGTCAAAAATACAGAGGACATAAAAACTTGAGAAAGGTTTATGCGATCCCAGTTCACTTTGATTTTCCCTGAGACGTCACAGTGGCATAACTGAGAGGCTCTCAGAGAAACGGCAGTCTACTCTGGTACGAGTCACTGCAACAGCTTTTCCCCGCTGTCTGCAACACGCTGCTGTCTCTCTCCCTTCCCGGCCTGGAAGTGGCAGTGAACTGGCAGAAGACACGGGCTTTTCTCCACTCACTAACGTGTTTGGGATTCAGATACTGAAATGGAGAGAAAAGGCAGCGTCCCCCAGAGCCCCCCGCGCACCTGTCCCGTGAGGGGGTCCTTGGCTCATGGCCCAGGTCTGTCATCACTCTGTACACTACCCCCTCCTGGCGGGCACAGAAGTCTGGATGGAGCCAAGGACCCTGCTTCACTTTAACTCAACGCTCCCCAGACTTCCTGGCCACTCCTTTGTCCAGTCGCATGACTAACATTCCAGACACCTGGGGCACTGCTGGCCCGGCCAGGTCTGCCGGCTTGATGGCTCTGGTGCTGTGGACAATCACAGTTTGAGTCAAGAAAACCCTGGGTTGTCGAGGTGCTTTGGGTTTGCGCAGTGATGATACACCCCACACCAGTGGAAAGCACACGTCCGTCTGCTGGTCCTTCATCTCGTTCTGGCCGGTTAGGACTTTCAAGGCCCTTTGGGAGACAGTGGTCAGTCTGAGATGTGAGACATAGGGTCTGACAGCGGCTACCAATTTTCTCTTTGGCATATACCCAAGGGGATCACCAAAAATGCCACGGCCGAAAAGAAAAAAAGCACCCAGATTTTAAGGTTACTAAGGGATCTCTAATGTCATGGGGGAGCAGGTGTGGGGGAGTTCTGACATACTGAGTGTGGGCGTTCATGGAAACCCCGTAGACATGCATGCTGGGTAATGGCTGTGCTGGCTGGAGCTGGGGAGGCAGGTAGAGCTGATGGTGCCGATCTGGGTGATGGGCAGGTGCCACCCAGGGCACCCAGGGCCTCTGGGGCTCTGCTCCTGGGCAAGTAACTGTCCTCGCTGAGGCCCCACCTCTGTGAAATGAAGACAGTCACTGTGTGGCAGAGCTGTGGAGGGGTCCCATGTGACAAGCTTAAACACCATGCTTGGCACACGACGGGCACTCACCACATGATGGCTTACGGTGACTGACAGGCAGAGAATGGATTCGGGAGATGGGGGGCCCAAGAGGGTGGGGGCCTGGGAGCCCCCGCATTTAAGAAACAGGCTAAGGAGCAGACGAAGGACACTGAGAGGAAAGAAAAAAAACAAAGAAAATTAGACAGCAGGTAGAGAAACCTCTAGAAAGCTGCTCAATCTTCTAAAGAAGTTCCTTCCCCACGTACCCATCCTGAGGAAATACGGAGTTTTCTAAAATGAAGGAAAGTATTTGTATAAACTGTTTGCTGAGCCTTAAACCTGCACGTAAACAGAGAACAGCTACCTAAATTGTCTTAAAGTCACAGGACTTACTTTTTAACCAGGGGTAGGGGGTCAGAGCTGGGAGAGTGGTGAGAACAGTCAGAAACTAGAAAAAAAATACACCAATTACTAATAGAGATCAGGTTGTATTTTACGAGAACTTCTGATTTTTGTCACTTCCTTAATTCAGTACAATAAATATCTGTTATCACATATACACACCCTCAAACCCCCACCTGCAAAAAATATATGAAAACAAAATAAAACAATATTTTACTGGGATTTAAAAAAAAAAAAAAGGAATACTCACCTTGTTTTCAATATTACTCATAATATGACCCCTACCTGTCCTTCCTAGGGTTGTTTCTGATGATTCCTCATCATAGAATCTTCCTCCAGCTTGAGTCCCCCCCACACACACACACACACACCACCTTCCGGAGATTAAGACCCCTAACTGGGCAGGCCTGTCTATCAAAACACCACCCCTCCCACCAGCCCCACCCGGATCTTATCTGCAATCTCTTTCTAGTCAGTGACTAGGGCTCTGTGTTTCTTTGAAGGCATTACTATTTCATTTCATGCCAAAAATGCTCACCTTGAGGTCATTCCTACAGGCAAGTTTCAGAGGCGTCCCAGAACACTTGGGAATCGTCGCACACCTGTGTGTGTGCACGCACATAAGTGTATTTCTCTGGGAGAGAGGTCCCACAACTTTCAGCGGATTCTCAAATCTCCCAGGACCCAAAAGAGGGTAAGAAACGCTGTTTCAGTCTCTCATTTATTTGGTGCTTCTGCCCCACCCGCTCCATGATCACCTCCAGGATTGATCCAGAGCGGTGTCTCCTTGGCGCCTGGAGATGAACCTGGCCCAAAAACAGGCTTCCAGCGGTTGGATCCACAGAGATGGTGGTGCTTCCCGAGTGGAAAGGGGAACGTTGTTAAGTGGAAGGAAAAGACACCCTGAACTCGGCCAGTTTCGACTCATCACCACCCAGACAAAAATAAAAGTGAAAGTGAAATGGCTATTGTCTCTGAAACCACAAGCTTGCCAGCAAGGCTAGGGTTAGGGACCCCCTGGGCCTTTGCATCCCTGACTCACTCCTCTCTTGGGTAATAACTCTCTCAAACTGGCTGTCCCTCGCGTCCTATTTATGCAACGTGGGAAACTATGCGTGCCCCTCAGCTACCAGAGGAGGCGGCTGTGAGGAAGCCAGGCGGCACACAGTGTGCTGTCGGGACACTTTCCCTGTTCCTCGCATGTGAGAGTCGGGGTCCCGGGGGCCCCTGGGTGGCAAAGCTTGTTCTGATGTCCTGGGAGCGGCCTGCTTTCAGGTCTGAAGTATTTCCAAACATGCTCACATTTAGCAGGGTCGGTCAACCAAGGGCTGGAATGCACTCCGACCACAGGCCAGGGCCGCCCTTCGCCACAATCTTCAACTCACATTCCCGTGTGATAAGCACAGAGCTATCCCTCCCCTTTTAAAATTCCCTATTATGAAAACAAGGGCTTGTTTTTCCCTCCTTTCAAAGTACACAGTTCTCTTAACAAAGACGACGCAGCAGGAAAAGACCCGTGTGGATGGATCTCAGAGGGGTTATGTTGAGTGAAAGAAACCAGGCCAAAAAGCGTCCCACGGATGTGACGTGTTCTCGCTGCAAACCGTGTACAGGCAGGAACTGCGTGTGAATTATGCATCAAGGAAGCTGTCTTAGAAAATTCTATTGCATCATTGAATTTTTCCAAGGAAATTGTTGCACCCTGTCCACCTGTCCCCATAAACAGGGCTCTAAAAAGTGAGCGACCGGCCACCTCTCTATGTCTGGCTCTTCTCGAGCCTGCAGGACTCGGCAGCACCCCTCATTCCCATGGGGGCCTGGGGATTTACATCCCAGCTCCCTCATCTCTGCTTCTTTCTCCTCCTCACACGTCCTTCCAGGGGCAGCTCAGGGATCTGCAGAAGCCGCCCTGGGCTGAGCGTGGTCCCCTCCTCGGGTTCCTGTGTGGCCCAAGTGTGTTCCCAACTGCCACTCCCCACACCTGGTGACTTCACCTGCTTGGCTTGTATCCCATGAGGCTGCACACCGGAAGGGCTTCTTAACCTTTTTTTGTGCCTCCGTCTCCTCAGGCAGCCTCCTCAGAATACGGTAAAATACACAGGCATATGCAGAAAAGTAACTGTGAAATACAGTTATGAAGCTATTCAAACACATATTGCTGTAATAACCTATGTGCCATTTTATGGACGCAGTAAACGGCCAGATCTAGCGGTGGGTTGAGTGACTACCAGCATTTCATAGCGACACGTATACGCAGCATTTCCGGAGAGCTGCAAATATACGATATGAAAACGCGTGTGATTTCCTGGTGACAGGCGCACAGCAGGTGCTGTATTTCCATCTCCGAAGGAAATACTGCACTGCGGTTAGAGGTCCAAGTGCCATCTTCTCTCCCTCCAGGTGCTCCAGGGCCCTGAATTCCACCCAAGGACAAGGACCCAGCGATGCCTGGATCAAAATGTTATTCAGAGAGACTGTGTACGTACATCTGTGTTTTCAAAGCTCTGAGCACCCACCCAGGGGGATCGCAATTCAAAAACAAAGATAAATAATTTCTCCAGCTAATAACTGTCACCATACTACTGTCCTGACTGCCAAAGCCATCCAAATACATCGTCTCGGGACGATGTCACTCCCTGGCCACCTTGTCACAGGTTCTCCCCCCCACCTCCCCCGCAAAACCCCCTGGAGAGAATGTATGAAGATGGAGGGGACTGGGGCAGAAAGTCAGTTCCCTCACGGTGACCTGTGACCTCACCACACCCTATGTAACCCTCATGTGGGCGGGGCGCTGTGGACACACAAGGAACATTAGCAACTCCCTCTGCTCAACCTCTTCTGCCCATTGCAGCTGCAGATAACGCAAGAGCTTGTGTCCCCACCACACCTCTCTTAATATTACTAAACCCGGCCTTTCTTCTCTTTTTGTTCTGGCCGTTATCGTTGAGAGCATTTCACAAGAATGTAAAAAAAAAAAAAAAACAGGTTCCAGGGAGCAGGACAGCAGCGGAGCACCTGGGACGAGGGTCCTGGTCCCTGCGCGCACTTGCACGACCTCTGGCTTCCTGAGCAGCATGCCCAGGCCTGTCCCCGCTGGGCCGTCGGCTCCTGACCCCCATCCTCACCCATCGCTTCCGTTTCCTCACTTCCAGCACAATTCAAATGAACGAAGGTGAGTAGAACACGCTTCCCGTGAAATCTCCTGGCCGCTCCTGCCCAGGAAATTTGGGAGCTGCTGTTACGCTCACTCAGCCAAGAGCCAACTTCCCCAGACTGGAGCGACCTTTGACCCGCCTACCGCAGCCTGTCCTGTCCCAGCTCTAACCACCTGCAAGGCCAGAAATGCTCCATGCAGAGATAAGCCGCTAGGAATCGGAGCATCTGGAGATGGCGACTCCCTGCCCGAGTGCAGGCCCATGAATTCCTACAGCATGACGGGCTGAGGTCATTCCTGGCTCCCAGGAAGACAAGGAGTCAGAAGGCACCGTGCCCAACGGGGCACCTTGCACACTGCAGGGGGACAGCTGTGTCTCCATTCTCACTCCCAGCTTTTCACCTTTCGTCTACAGACAGGGTCAAACTGATTGCATCTGGAGACGAGTAACCACACCCTTACACCACTCCGGCCGGGCGTTACCACACTGCCCCCCGTTATCTGTGTTCTACTCTAAGACAGCCGTCCGTGGTGATGTCCCCACTTCCCGCCTCTGATCCCCTCCTCCAGCCTCTCTCAGCTGGCTCTGCACTGGCTGCAGGTAATTCATTTGACGGATGGTGCCAGTCAGTGACCTCATCATGGCCAACTGGACCCAATGAATGGCCTGGGTGTTGGGTCCTGGGCGGGCATCTCCCAGGTGTGCGGCCGTCCCCTCCACCTGGAAACAGTCCTCCTGGGTCCTCCTGCTCCTCAGCTTCTCCTGCGTTTTCCTTCAATGCTGGGGTTCCTGATTGTCTAACCTTTCTCCTTAGAGCTAGTCCCCTGGGCTTCAAGCCTTTTGGCTCACGAATCCTCTGAAATAAAAGCTGCATACCCCCTAAGCAATGTCTAACTTGACATCCAAATTTTTTTAACCCACCGTTCAGTATCTGCAAATAATGTATGTGATAGCATTTGGTACATGCACTGTAATAGTCACAACTTTCACACCATTCTTATTTGTCTTAGCCCCTATTTCCAATCTATTTACCCGACAATGTTTTTAACAGATTTTTTGAGCTATAAATCACGTGTCATACAATTCACCCATTTAAAGTATATGACTTAATGTGTTTTAGCAAATCCAGAGATGTGCAACCATCACCACAATCAAGTTGAGAACATTTCATCTCCCCGAAAGAAACCTCAGCCCCACTGGCAGTCCCTCCCCATCCCCCCACCCAGCCCGCACTGGCTCATTGGCTCCCTGTCTGGAGAACGCCCTACTCTGGCCATTTCATACAAACGGGATCGCACCCCAGGCAGCCCCTGGGTCTGCCCTCCCTCAGCCCGGCGTGCTCCAGGTTCAGCCACGTCGTGGCGTGGATCAGGTCTTCGTTCCTCTTTATTGTCCCATAACGTCCCCTTATGTGGGTACACCACTTTTGCTTCTCCACGCATCAGGTGGTAGACATTTGGGCTGTGTCTGTGCTTTGGTTTTTATGAATAACGTGGCCATAAGCCCCCGTGTACGAGTTTCTGTGTTACCCACAGATTTTAAACCTCATTTATTTTTATGCTTCGAAATCTGTGGTGGGTAACCTTTTCCTAAGTCTCATCCACAAACCATGCACGTGAATTAAGATTTAAAACATAAAGTAAAAATGCTTCTGTGACCATAATCCAGCGGCAGTCAATTCCAGTGGATCAAACGGTACGCAGTGGATTGAAGCTTCACAAGCACACTGCACACGGATGATTATTAAACACAGAACGTAACATTTTATGGGAAACACACCCCTTGATGAGACGCACGGGGTTTACTTTCCAGTCATGAGTTCGTGGGTCCGTGGGTGCCTCATGAAACACTGGTGCGATTTTCTCTTTAAGACACGTCACTGAGAAACTGTTCAAACAAGTAAGTGAAGAAATGGAAGTTCTCCGCTCACGGCAAAGTTGCTCTGATCTCTGCAAGCCGTAGCCCCCAAATCACTGTCACCCAGCATCACACAGGACGTGTCCCCTTCAAGCACATGAAAGCCAGCCGCCAGCCACCTGCCTGGAGGAGCACGTGTCCCCGTCCTTCGTCCTTCACTCACTCACACCCGCATGTGTTGAGACTCGCCCCTCATCTGGGCCCGGGAGGGTTTTGTTCACGCCCAAACACACCACAGCGAGATGTGTCTTCTCCTGTGAGATGGGAGATGGACTTACTCTCAGGGGACGCATTGCAGAAACGGCTGCATAAGTATATGGATGACGAGTGTCGGAATTAGCTCCCCACCCAGTCGGGTGGCTTCATTGACGCCACCCCCCAGCTGAGCTCTCACCCAGACAACCCTGTAGCTTGCTCGGCCCTCAAGCATCCCACGTGGAGCTAATCGCCCCAAATCTATCTCCCCCATGTTCCCAGGCACCCACATGCTCCCTGGTCACCACACCCGCCAGATCAACCTGCCCCACAAGCAGAGCCCAAGTCACCGTCCTTCCCAAATGGCCCCTTCCCGCTCCGATCCGTCTGGACCCTTTGGAGCCTCCTGAGAGAGACACAGGGAAGCCAGGTCAGATCCACTCCTGACCGCGACACGAGCTCTCAACCTCTGAGCCTCTGCCACCCCGTGAAAAAGGGACAGACCTCCAGGGCACAGGACAGGTTAGAGGTCACAAGGATGGACTCTGGAATAGGCCATCCTGGGTGAACCCTGAGGGGAACCTTTGACCTCTCTGAGCCAGTCTCGTCACCCACAGAGCAGCACAACACTATCATTCTTACAGGGCAGGTGGAAAGATTACGTAATTCAATGCACCTCAGCAAATCCTAGCCGCCGTCATCATGAAACAAACGAGTCTCCAGCTGAGTGTCCAAGTCCACGTCTCCTGCGTCATGTCCGACCTCTGCCTGCCCCCCCCCACTCCCCCAAGCTCCCCGCCTCCCTCCCAAATCAGGTTTTCAGTCCTCGGGGTCCTTGCACCCCCTCTGCTGCATCTAGAAGTCTTCTGCCTGATGAATGCCACCTCCACAGCGGCCCCAAGCCTCCTCTGCCGACCCCCTCTCTTCTTCCGGAGCTCTCAGTGTTGGGGTGCCACGCAGCTCCGTCCTCTGACCTCTCACCTCCCCTAGCAACGCTCCCTGTATGATCTCTCCTGTCTCCAGGCTCTAAATGTTTACATGCTGATAATTTCCACATGTGTGTCACCAGATCAGACCGCTCTCTCTTTCCACTGTTGGGTATCAAATGGATGTCTCAACATGGACAAAAGGAACCCCTGGTGTTCCCCCCAAATCTGTGCCATCTGCATATCCTCTCCCCTCCCGTGTGTGGCAAACTCCTGGGCCCGGGTGCTCATGCCCCAAACGGCCCAGGTCTAACCCCTGATAAACCCTGGTGGCTCTCCCGTCATCATATACCTGGGCTCTGTCCCTCCCGTCATCAACCCGGGTCTGAGCCACCATCACCCTGGTCTGGGTCACAGCAATGGCTCCTGACTGGCCGCCCTGCTCCCGCGTGCCCCTGAAAGTCCATCCCCAATTCAGCGGTCAGAGTCATCTCTTTAAAGCCCCGACCACACCAGGCCCCCTGCTCTGCCCAACACCCAGCAAAGGCTCCATGTTTCTCTCGCGGTAAAACTCAAGTCCATGGACGCTGCTGAGCAGTCCGACCCCCTTGCCTGTCTGACCTCACCTCCTACCACGTTCCCCCCAACTCACTCTGCCCGCTTGCCCTGACTTCCTTGCTGTTCCAACATCTCACCAGGAGGCAATCTCCTATTTTGCCTGGAAATTCCTCCCACCAGGACCCCCATGTGCTACCTCACTCAGTAACTGCACCTCTGCTCAATGACAGCCACAGCGCCCTGGGCTGGGCGGGGCTCAGACATGCACACCTGGGCCCACGGGGTCCCCCCTCCTCCTGGGCGCCCAGGGTGCTGACGCTGGACTAGTCACGTCGGCCTCTGAGGAAGGGGAACAGGAAACTCACTTTGCTGAGTGTGTCCTCTGGCCCCGAGCTAGGGCCTGTGAAGCAAAGGCACCCTCTTAATTCCACAGGGGCCAAATCCATTGTCCCAGATCACCAGGCTTATACACAACTGGGCCTCAATTCGCTCTGCCTGGCGTCCACACTGCGCCCTGTTCTTAGCCCACTGGGCGGGGGCTGGGGTGTAGGGTCCCGGACCTGCCCCAACCAACACAGGCCCTTCCCTGACCTGGGGCAACTGAGCCCATTCCAGTTCTAACCAGGGGCAGTTGGCTTAGGGCTTTGTTTACTTGTTCTTTTAATGTCAAGTCCTTAGGTTATGTCCATCAATCTAAACCGGAGAGAAAACCACAGCCGACTTCGAATAGGCTTCACATTTCCATCTGTAGGTGTCTGCTGCAGGAAGCGCAAGGCAGAAAAGCGTACTAAGTTACACTCTTTCAGCCCCGCTGGGCTGCTGGGTGCTCACTGCAGCCCTTCTGACCTTTCGCCCCACGCCTGCCCCCTCTGGCCTGCACCATCCAACTCAGGCCATTCTTTCCATATTTAGCGTTACTTGCCAGCGAGGAGTCATTTTCATGAGCTACGAGGCACTCTCCACAGGGTGAAACGCCAGGGCACAGGGTCACTCTGCCCGGGTTCAAATCCCCACGCTGCCCCACTAAGGAGTGAGTGGGAACGGCTTAGCCTCCAGGTGGGGGATAGCCAGCGTTAAGTCATGAAAAAGAATTGCTCCCCCTCACAGGTGATGTCAGCAGGGAACCAGGGGACCCAATGAAAGCGCTTGGCATGGCGGGGGCTGCTGCTTCACAGGGCTGGTCCCCCATGTCCCACCCACAGGCCCACGCCACCCTCGGGAGGCGGATCGGTTTATCTGGGTCTGCAAATGTCCACCTTGTGAAATGACCTTAGGATGTTTGTTCACACTGGTAAACAGAAATGTCTGACTTCCCCCTTGTTGGAGGGACGCCTGCACTCTCTGTAGTTCCAAATACTTACTTTAAAGGGAACCACTTTTGTCTTGTAAAAATAAAACAGCAGTTCTAAATACCAATTACGCCGAGTTTTTACTTCTATCTATAGCCCGCATTCCCATCAAGGGTTCTGTGAACTCTCTGACTCTGGAGGAAACTCGGTCACTTCCTGCCACTTCCCTGTTCATGCAGTTGTAGTAACATCTCCTGGCAAGTCCGCTACATGATCAAAAGAGGAAAACAGACTTCCTAAAAGTTCCACCAACGTTAGCCAGCTTTCAATAGCTGATTCACCACTGTATTTTGGTGGTGGCGTTCATGTTGATTCTTTAAAAGAAAACGAATTCAAGAATCTTAATTATGCAAAACTTCAGAGCCATGGCAAAAACAAATTTTTCTCCTTTTTCCAAACATTGCAAGATAACTGCTTTACTATTTGTGTTCGTTTTCACTTTCTAAGAACAGGAAGAAATAGTTCAAAAGAACTTCATCAACCAATTACTACTACCCAGAAGCAGGACTCACCAGACTGTCAGAAATCTCTCAGAACCAGTTTTCAGGTTAACAAGTTATTAAGTTCGTATGTGTTTATGCACGATCCCCCTCCCACTCTCCTTCCTGGCATTTGAATAACAACACAGCAGCTCACAGTTTGATTTTCTGCAGTGCTTTGCCGAGGTGCACAGCGTTTGACCCTGCAAAGGCTGGGTGACTCAGCACATTCTAGCTGCAGACCTCAGGTTAAGAGGGCGGATGCCTACCTCTCCTCTTGCAAGCGCTGCTGAGATGTCAAGCTGGACCGGTTTGCAAGGTCAAAGAGTCTCATAGGTGCCTCTCTAGACAGCAACACAGAGACAGTGGAGAAAAGCAAAGTTAAAGTGTCATGAAAACAATCCTATCTGATCGCTACAAAGGCTGTTGTACATCATATTAGCATTCAATTGCCCAGTAGGATCCGGGGAAGCTGGTGAAGTTTGCACCTTTGTTCTATTTTTTTTTTTAAGTGAAGCCAGTTTTTCCCACCATCAGGATAAACAGACCCTGGCGAGGTGAACTGGCTCGTGTTGTTTACAAAAAAGGCAAATCCACTACTTTTTTTTTTTTTTTCACTACAAAGACTATGAAGCTGAGGCCAAACTTTTCTAGTGGTTCCCAAACGTGGCAGACGGTGGAGAGCACAGGGGGGCCTTTGTAAATGTAAATTCCCAAGCCCTTCAGGCCCCGGGCTGATTCAGTAGGTGTGGGTGCAGCCCAGGAACCTGGGAACCGCTCACCTGTGATTCCTGGGCCAGGCCAGGCTACAGCACCAGGGGGCATCCAGGCGACTGCACCACACTTCCTGCAGCTCAACTGGAATCGTGAGGGTGAAGAGTCAAAGAATAAAACTTAGGAGGATGCACCTTTGCATGTTAAAGCTGTTACTACAATAAATAGTAGTAACATTCTTAATTGTCTGAACTTTCCAGATTCTCGATGAAGTCCCAACTTTGGGAAGTTACTTTAGGACGTGACCTTGACCTAGACAAATCTCTGTCTGAAATAAAGACCCTGTGCTCGCTAATCCCCTTCCACAGGCAATCTTCACAGCAAACCCTGGGAGGGGCTGCTACTCGCCCATTTCCCAGGTGAGGAAGTAGAGGCTCTGACAAGTCAATTGTTCTAGTGACAAAGCCCAGATCCCCACCTCCCCACCCAGGGCGTCTGCTGGTGCTGGCTGCTGGGGACAGGTGAGGCTTGGATCTGTTCAAATCTTAAAAGAGCCCCAGGTCTGGCATACCCAGCAATCAGGTGCTGGGCGCAGATGCAGGGCACCACCAGCTCCCTGCCCCCCCAGAGGGGGGTGCGGGGGAGACCGACAGGAATGTGCTTTCTGTCCCTTTTTCACCAGGAACACATCTCCACATTTGATTCAGAAACTCAAATCATGGGCACAGGTGCTGAGGTGCACAGCTTTGAAAGGCTGCACAGAGCAGGTGGCTAAGACGAGCTGCAGGCCAAAGGACAAGAGAGTCCACCAGCCAAGAGGACAGAGACTGTCCAGGCCCAGAGTGGCCCGTGCGAACCCGCCTTGTCTATCAGGGGACAGTGGGGCTGCGGTGCAGCTGGGTGAGGTGTGACAAGGGACAGGAGGCTCGGGAAAGGCGCAGAAGGGGCTTTGGGGCTAGAAATTTCAGCTTGAAGGGTTGCAAAGGGGACCGGCAGTGGTTCACACACTGTGGCCCTAGCCCTGGATTGGCATGTGGGGAGGCAATGCTCGCCCCGGGAGGAGAGATCTGTGTAAAAGGCACCGACCGGGTCTGCAGAGGCAGGTGGGAGCCCTTCCAGCCCAGACTAAAGCCTCATCCTGAGGCCGCAGGAGGGGCCTCATGGGAGAGTTGCTGAGGCTCAGGGTGCGAGCTTTGGAGCCAGGTGGCTGACCGGCTGGGGTAACTGAGGACTGAGAGGACAGAGGGTACAGGACAGCTCCAAGGTTTCCAAGCAGACGGGTGACGGCACGTTGTCAGCCAGGCTGAGGACAAGAAAGAGGCCTGAACCAAAGAAAAGGCCGTGAGTTGGTTCTGGGCACACTGAGCCCGCTGGTGGGCCGGGTTTTGTCTGATGGCTAGTGGGTCAGAAATACAGAGCTGGAAGAACACGTCGTGAGTCCAGGATCACAGCTGACGCCCTGGGGATGGAGTTTCAGGGAGCAGCATAATAGAAACCATTCTGTGCCAAACGGAAGCTCTAGCTCAGGCCTATCCGAAGAAGCGAGCCACTCAACAAAAAAGCCAAGCGCCAACGACACGCCAGGCTCTGCCCGGAGCCTGAGACTCGGCAAGCCGATCAGCCCATGGAGCTCAGGCTGTCGTGGGGCAGAGAAGCCAGTGGGCTGATGGGCAGTGGGGACCGCACCGAGGAGCGATGCGAGGGCCTGGGGAGGGTCAGCTAAGGCCTGCCGAGTGGGCGACGTCTGAGCTGAGACCAGAGATGTCACACACGTTGCCCGAGGGCTCCCTCAACGCCAGGCTCCTTCCGATGCCCACGGTAACGAGCACGGAGCCACGGAGGACGAGTCGTGGCCCACACGCTGGGCGGCGGCGGAGGCGACCTTGACCCAGGCGGCCCGGCTGCGGACAGAGTCCGCGCGCTGACGGAGGACAGGCCCGTTGAGCAGCGGGCGCGACCCACGGAGCACCGCCGCGGTGAAGAGCACGCAGGGGCCTGAGTGGCTGGCGAGGGCTTGCTGCGCTCTGCTCGGCAGCGCGGCCGCGGCACACGGAAGCCCCAGGCGCCAACGCCGGCTCTCCAGCCACCAATTCTGCAACCGGGGGACCAGCGCGCACCCCCGTGACGCTCAGTTCTGTTCATCAGGAAGCAGCTCTCACGCGCGACTCACACGTGATGCTGAAGACACGGGGACATGCCCACGTGAAGGCCCACGTCGGCGTCTAGCCCGTGTGCTCGCTCGGCAGCTGGGGCCGTCTCCATCCGCTCGGAGGGGCCCGCACGCAGCGCAGGGCGCTGACCCAACAGCTGTTCTGAGAGAAATCCTGGGGCGCCGGGCGCCAGCCTGGGAACGCTCCCCGGGGCCACCCGTCACTCGGGAACATTCCGCGCGCCTCAGCTTGGATCCACTCAAGGGAAGTCCACCCCACTGAACTCAGTTCCTCCCAGAGCGACCCTCGGGACAGACAGGCTGCTCCTGCGCTGCACCTGTGTCCCCACTGTCCTCCTTCTGTCCCTTGAGAGGCAGAAACAAAGCAGTGGCATGAAAGCACATTAGCTCACGGAAAGAACGGACGCCGAGACCCCAAAGTGCGACGTCAAGTGACCACGGCTGGTGGTAAGTAGGCTTCGGTCCCTCCCCCCATCCCTCACGAGTCCCCACCGGCACCCCCCACGGTGCCCGCCACGCCTGGCCGCGGCCACCCAGCCAGCAGGGCCGTGGGCAGCTCCACTCGCCCCGGCCAGAGGCCCTGCCAGCCTCCCTGGGCGCTTGCGCCGGGCTACCACCTGCTCATGCCACACCCGCCACCCAAAGTCACACTAACCTTCCGCTTGACTGCCTGTAGGGTGCCCACACCTATGAAACACGACCTTGTTCGCTGCTCTACTGGTTTCCTTTCCACCCACCCCCGCGAAAACTGTGAGCGCCACGCGTGCCGAGAGCTCGTCTTTCTTGTTCGCCCTGACAGTCTCAGCACCTGGCAGGAAGCGAAGAACTCAACAAATATTTATTGAATCAATAAAGTTAACGCCAGAGAGTCCGATCCAGTTGCAGAGGAGGAAAAGTGGGCGCTGGGGCTGAGACAGCTGTGAGCAGCGGTCATGGGCGAGGAGGCTGGATGCCAGGCCAGGGCCCCTGAAGGGCCTGAGCAGAGAGAGAGCTGTCCTGGGAAGGGCTGTGAACACACGGGAATGGATGACATGAAGCCGGAAAACCCAAGAGGAAACCATTTGTTACCCCTACAGTCCACAAAAGTCAGGAGGTCTGCCAGGGGCGTCGCCTACAGCATGCGGCTCCAGTTAACAAGACCCTACTGTATGTCTGCAGGTTACTGAGAGAGTAGACCTTAAAAGCTCTCATCACAAGAAAAAAAAATTTTTAACAAATTAAAAAATATAAGTCTGACAAGTGTTGGAGAGTCTTTGGGGAAACAGTTTTCAAACAGTTGAAAATCAGTTTGGGAATATCTCTTAAAAGTGAATCAGGCATGTTCAGAATGTAGCAATTCGTCATCGAGGTGTCTGGCCTAAGAAATCATTCCCTACATGCCACACAGGGGGAAAAAACACACAAGCACTATTTATGTTAGTGAAAAACTCTAAACAATCCATATATCCACTAATGGACTGGTTAATAAAATGTGGTATTAGTCATACCATGAAATACCAGACAGCAATTAAAAACAATGACATGTATATATAATATGCATAGGATATTTATAGATACAAAAGCATGGATAGATCTCAAAAACAATGCTCGGTGAAAGTGAGAACGAATAGCATATAGGGAACCATTCATGTATATTTAAACCCATGAATCAACAGTACATATTAATTATGGGTGCATGTAAATACATATGAAGTATTTTAAAAGCACATATCAAACTGAACATGGGCTCTGTGAGGTGAGGCGAGGAGGAAGGGCTGGAACTGAAATTAGTGTTTATAGGGAAGTTGACCTAATTTTGTTTTGTTTCATTAAAAAAAAACGGAAACAGATATGACAAAAATGACAGTTAATTTTGGATGATGGGACTATACAATAGTACAGTTTTTACTGGAAATCAGAAAAGGATGACAGACGTAGATAGAAAAACTCAGAGGCTCTCAGGACTGGCCGGAGTAGTAGAGTATAAACAGTGCTGAAAGAATAGAGTTACAATTACACTTTTTTATGTTAGTGATGAAAAGCTGGCCACGCTGTTAAAAGAAGACGGTGCATCCCGTTTTAGAAAGGTGTGCTGTATCAGGGAGTTACCCAGGTGGTGTCCAGCAAGAGGTCAGAATTCAAAACCAAAGCTGGTGCTGAATCCCTGTCCTGGGAGAGTGAAGAATGAAATGGTTCCTCAATCAATTTCCTTAAAAATAAAAACAAAAACAAAACAGTTTTTCAGGTCCCCAGAGAATTCACTTGTGTATGTGGTTTGTGTATAACACATATAGAAACCTAAGCACAATGCCCTGTATGCAAAGGATGTTAGTCTCCCTCTTTGAAAGTCAGGTTACTAAATGTTAATACACATTTCTAGAACGCCTGGGGATCTGATCTCTGACAATCAATCAATTAAGCACTCCAGTAAGGCAATGTGTCAACAGTTTCCTCTTGGTAAGTAACATAGATTAATAGAGCAAACAATGACTTAAATTCACTGATCAATTTTTAAAAACTCAAATATAAAACTCTATTTTGAAATCAAACTCCCCCATTCTTAAAGATGATAAACTTCCAATTATCCAAAGAATGCACTTGCCTTGATTACAATGCACCCCTCTGATACCTTCCATCCACATGTTTGCACAGTGCCTTCCCATTCTTTTTCAGTGTGTTGCAACCCCTGAAAAAGTCAATAGTCTCTAGCTCTTCTCTAAAGAGGGAAACGCAAGACAGTGGGTGACTGGTCAGGGTGACTCACGGGCAGTCGATATTGGAACTCAGAGCCCTGAGTCCAGTTCCTAAAACCGTGAGGCTCCCGCTGACCCAGCAGAACTGACGCCTTCCTTCAGCAGCCTGTTTCTTCGAGGTCCCGGGGACAACCAGAATGTCAGTTTCCAAAGCTTTCTCCTTCAAAAGTAGCCACAGTCAGAAACAAAAACTTGGCCTGCAAGTTTTTTAAAGTTTCAGAACATCTGAATCTAAAAGATTCCATGCTCTAACGTTGGCTTTTTAACAAGGCGTGGCTGAGCTCCGCTGCTACAACTTAACACCCTCCATAACCAATGTAGCTTTGCTGGTGAGGTGTTCTAGTGGCCTCTGCTCAGGCTGGGTTACATTCAAAATCAATCGGTGCTGTTTACACGGCTTGCTGTTTGCTAGAGTTAGTGCTATCTGGGACAAGCTGAGCTCCTGACAGCCAGACTGGGCTGCCGGGATGCACCTTACCAAGCCAAGCTAGGGGCTGGGCGCATATAGGATTTAGGAGGGTATTTTACCAGAATGAAGTTAAAATGTAGCCATCTAGCACATAGTTTCTTTCCATTAACAACTTCAAGAGCTCATCAGCACCTGAAATTAAATGACAGCTTAAAAAATAAACAAATAGACTACAATGTAGGTTTACTGACAGGATCAGATATTTTCAGGGGAAAAAACCAACCTGACAGTGGTGTCTGATGGTGCCTTTCCTGTGCAACTTTAAAACGCTTCACAAATATTTTTTTCACTACCACTTATTTCTCATTCCAGTTTTACAATTAAAAAAAAGATGAAAGAGTTAAATAACTTACCAAAAGTCACACAGCCGGTTCATAGCAGAAATCAAATAAGAGCACAAATTTAATTTAGCAATTAAGAATCTGATACAAAAAAAAAGAATCTGATACAATGTGTCCTTTTCGCTAGGATGTATTGCCTCATTTTATTTCCCTTAAAAAATAATTGTTTACATCTCAATTAAAGTGGTCACCCCGAAATAGAAAAGCCAGTTCTGTCCTGAAGCAACAAAAACCATCAAGTTTGTGCTCAAAAATAAGCTATATAAATAATGCTGTATCTTAATAATTCTACCTACAGGTTTAAGCCTTCATTACATTCATTCATTAATATACCATAAATCTTCCTTTCCTATTGCTGAGAGTCTTAAACTGGCCGACAAAGCACCACAACGCACATCAGCCACAACACACACAAATCTATCACTCAAGCTCGGTCCAATAGCCTTGCCAAGGTCAGTATCGAGTATTCCTGAAATTTTCACTTGTAGAATGAATAGATGTTTTGTACGGATTATCTATTCAGGCAGAAAAAGGGGGGGAGGGGATGAAAACAAGAAACAATTAGCTATTCAGCTGGCACTGAGCACATTCCAAGTATAAAATCCTTTGTTTGTTTTATTTTGTTTTTTGTTTTTCTTACCTACCTCGGGACTCCAGTCCATGAAAAAAAAAAAGAAAAAAAAAAGAAGTCCATCTCATGAGATTTTTCTAGAGCCTTTCCACAGACCTCCGTGGAGACCGTGATGTCAGCTTTGGCTTTTAGTCTATAGCCAGGGGACTGGAACCCAGAACCATCTATTTGCATTTCAACACCCTTCTTTTGTTTTCTGACCTGTCAGAGGCTCAACCAGATCAAACAGCAGGTAGGGCAGTTGGATCGGTCCAACCACCCCAGAAAACTCAAGAGGAGAAAACTCATGCAAACAATGCGGGTATTTTAGCTAAAAGCTGCCACTGACTTCATCAGTCAAGCTACAAAGCCCAAGCTAGACCATCGTGTTAAAAATTTACCTTTCATTGTTCTTAATTCTCTCTCTGCCGCAGACAGGGTGGGGGGTGGAGCGGGGAGGGGGGCAGTGCTGCCTCCTGGAATCTCTCCTGAATAAATATTGGCAAACTACTCAAATGTGCACAGGAATTACAGGTCCCAACGTCGCACTGATTCTGAAAGTGGCAGGCTCTATCATTTCTCTGAAGGAGCTCCCCCACGCAGCGCTAAGAAAAGTCAAAGAGAGAAACGCTCGTGAGGTAGAGAGCGCTGCAGAGGGCGGGGAAAGTCCAGCCTGCCCAGGAACTTCAGGCCACCTGGCCCCCACGCTGCCAGTGCAGGATTCCTGTCACACCCATTCACATGACCCCATGACACGGTCAAGATTCCCCTGGGTGACCCAGAAGGCAGCTTCCCAAGAGTTTAATATTCCAACAGGTATCAGCAGAGAGGTCATTGCAAATTTTCAATAGGCAAATCCCTCGGAGTCAGTCTTGAAGGTCAGTGTTTGGGGAAGCCGACACGGAGGCCACCGAGGCCCAGATGACAGATGGAAGGGACCATGACGGCCACTTCCGCAAGGTCCATTGTCACACAGACAGTGTGTGACGGCCCGAGACTGCGGGGTAGGCCTGTGGGCTCTCAGCCCCGAGCTCTCGGTCCCCAAACCTGCCTCGCTGGGCTCCACGGGGAGACTGTCACATGGAACTCTGGGCTCAGCAAGCCAGCCTCCCACCAAGATAGGTCTGCACAGTTTCAGAGGCCTGGCCTGTCATTACCACCTGCGGAGTTACTGACAAGCTTTCGGCCCCTTGACAAGCATCTCTTTCCAGCTCCCATGATCTACAACTGCGACTGTCTGTATAAATGTGGCTTGATCCCTCTGCTTCCTCCCAACTCGGCAGCCGTCTGCTCTCCACGTGCTC